CTTACAGTCTTCAGATTGCAATCTTTGCAGGTTTCTGATGTAGTGTGGCCTGCTGGGGTGCCCACAAGGTAGAAAGAATTGAAGCAATTCAGATGTAGTAGACATTACAGTGATGCTCTTTCCAAAAAGTAGATCTGGAGATCCTGATGTCACGCCTCTCCTCTTTTAATGAATGCTGAAATCCACCTCCCTCTATTCTCATTAGGAAAGCCAAACTGCCCATCAGTGTCTACATGGCGCCTTCTTCACAAAGTCTTTCTACAACATCCTATACCTAAACAGGATTATTTCCTTTTCACATTTGCTCAGCTGTAGGTGAAACTGCTATTCCGGCTTTTTATGTAATCCTTCACTACATTTTTTTCTTTGCCTGAGTATATCTGTCCGTGCCTCCTAAACTAATCTGCCCTGACTGTGGAGCAAACTCTTTTTAAAATTGCCAAATGCACCTCAACTTTCCAAAATGTTTTTCCTGCGTGTATTTCTTTCATGTACAAAAGAACACATGTTCCAAGCAGCAATTCTACATGGCTAAAGTTATTTCATGTCTTTCCTGAAAAGTCACTAGAAAAAAGAAAGATCAGAGCTTCTCTCTGTGTCAGGAAATTTCTTAAGTCATTTCATTTTATACATTTTTTAAGATAGTAGACTGTAACCGTTGGAGATCAGAAGCTGCTATACATATTATTAGATGTCCCTGTTGGAAACTGGGAGATGGTATCCACTGCTGGGAGAAAAGCCAGGCAGACCAACTGGGATGGCAACCATTTCAGCCACCCCAGTTTCAGCCAATTCAACCAATAAATGTGAATAAACAATCTGTGAAGCCACAACTGAGGGCAAGAGTATTTAAACCTCTTACAGTGAAGGTTACTGAAGGAAATGTGTACAAGTTCAAAATAACAAGAATAGGCAATATGAATTTTTATTTTGCTGACATGTCACTTCAAGGTCTAAGCTTTTCTCCTCTGCCTCTCTGCTATTAAGTGCCTTGGTATCTGCTAAATGTCATCTCCTCCCAGCATTGCTACTTTATTTCATTGTGTATGTCAGTAGAAGTCAATAGAAAATCTCATTCACTGACTTATAAACACACCTAGGATATAGATTTAAAAGATATATATATTTATTTTACTTCTGTTTTACTAATCTGTGAAGGTATATCTTCAATACCCCCGTCCACTCCAAAATAATTTCATTCCTGTATCCCTATCTTATGTTGCGTAACTGTTACAAGGAAGATCTTTAAAGTAGTAAGATTACCCTTCTCCCAGCTGTCTTCCTATTGAAGCATTATAACACTCAGGAGCACTTTTCTTACAGCCTTTTTTTTTTTTTAACGATTTTTTTTCCATCTAGGATGCTGGTTGAAATTTTGCCTTCATTTCATTTATCCAGTTTCATACTTACTGAAACCTAATTTTATAGCAAACTATTTTTTTCCATGTTATATACACATTTAGTATTTAGAGAACAGCCATTGTAAATAAAACAATGAGGTGGAAACAGGGTTACTTTTGCTCAAAACTTCTTATTCATACAATCTGAAATTTTAGCTACTAATATGATTTAAGTACTAGTTAGTGCTTAAACCTAGTTAGTACTAGTTAGTTTTAGTTACTAATATGATTTAAGTTCATATTGTATGTTATAGCTGGTAATATCGAAGGAAATCAGACACCAGGGCTGAAGCGTAGTCTTTGTGATTCTCAAATAACTGGAAAAAGCAATGGATACCACATTTGCTCATAATCGGGCACAGGATAATGAAATATTGTTCAAGAGCTTTTCTCTGTTCAGCATATTAAATCACCTTCCACCAGATAGCGATACTGACTGAATTCTTCCTGGTTCTTTAGGAATAACCTATGGCCCTACCACTCCCCTTGTCAAAAGGTTATCACAAAGTGCTTTAGTTTTTGTCCTGAAAGCATTTTCTCGTTTCAGTGATCACTATAAAATGCATATGGAAGAATTAATGAGTTTTATTTAGAGTAGGAAGAGGATTCAGAATTGGCTTTAGATAAACCTTTGTGTAGACAAATTCTAAGAGATGCATAAAAAAAATATTCCAGACGATAATATGGTTTTAAATTCTATTAAACTTACTATTAGAGAAAACACATAACATGGTAACACTCTCTAGGCAGTAAAAACATTATTAAACTGCTATGCTAGTCCTTGAACATCTTAAATTGCCAGAGACAAAGATAATTTCAGTAAATATCACCAGAAGTTTAGGAGGTTGTTTTCTTTTACAAAGCTGCAGTTTTGCAACATCAGATATCAAATAACTGTTTACTTGAAACTGAAATGGAACATTAAAAGCAAATAGCTTCATCTAGTTGAGAATCGGTACAGAAATTCATATTGAAAACAAACAAAAGAAAAAATACCCAACACAGAGTAACAGAGTAAGTTTGCCTCCCTTATACTGAAATTCCAGGAAGAGATAATAAAACAACACTATGTTCATAAATCTCCAGATATTAACAAATTGCTTATGAATCTATAAAAAAGGCAATAAGAGATACTACAAGGCACTATATCAGTAGACTTTAGCGTTTTAGGAGGTAAAACACATGGTCAAAGGAACCGGTTCTTAATCCATATTCAAAGCTGAAAGAGGAGTTTGTGTTACTTCCTCCTCTTCAAAATCACTTTAAACTGTCAAATTAGCTTTAAACAGGCAAATTTCAACTTTGACACCAAGAAAACCCTCTAAAGAATCAGACTGTGTAGTTGCTGTAACACTTATGTCAAAAGAAAATTTTTAATTTGCAAGGAAAAACAAAAGTTTCTCTCTTCAGAGGTCTCTCCAGCAGCAGCACACGGGATTTATTGCCTCTCCTTCACTTCAGCCTGCATGTTTCCGGCTGGAAACTCTCCCGAACGCAAGTACCTTGTCTTCTCCTACCTCACCAGGGAAACGGGGCGATTTGGTGGCAGAAATTCCGAGGAAAATACACTTTTGTGAGTCCAAAGAAACACAAATCGAGCACACCGAAAGGCTCCCCGGCCGTACAGAGAGGCGGGCTCTGCAACGCACCAATCACCGCGCGGCTCCTCGCTAAAAATACGAGCAGCTGACCCGCGCCAACCCAATTGCGTTGCCTGCTCCGCAGAGGACGCTGCTGCTGCCGCTACCATGTCCGAGACCGCTCCTGCCGCTGCCCCCGACGCGCCGGCTCCCGGTGCCAAGGCCGCCGCCAAGAAACCGAAGAAAGCGGCGGGCGGCTCCAAAGCCCGGAAGCCCGCGGGCCCCAGCGTCACAGAGCTGATCACCAAGGCCGTGTCCGCCTCCAAGGAACGCAAGGGGCTTTCCCTCGCCGCGCTCAAGAAGGCGCTGGCCGCCGGCGGCTACGATGTAGAGAAGAACAACAGCCGCATCAAGCTGGGGCTGAAGAGCCTCGTCAACAAAGGTACCCTGGTGCAGACCAAGGGTACCGGTGCCTCCGGCTCTTTCCGCCTCAACAAGAAACCGGGAGAGGTGAAAGAAAAAGCTCCCAAGAAGCGAGCTACCGCAGCCAAACCCAGAAAACCAGCAGCCAAGAAGCCTGCAAGCGCCGCTAAAAAGCCTAAAAAAGCTGCAGCGGTGAAGAAGAGCCCTAAGAAAGCTAAGAAGCAGGCGGCCAGTGCGGCCAAGAAAGCGGCCAAGAGCCCCAAGAAAGCAGCCAAGGCAGGTCGCCCCAAGAAGGCAGCGAAGAGCTCCGCCAAGGCTAAAGCAGTGAAGCCCAAAGCAGCTAAGCCCAAGGCAGCCAAGCCAAAAGCAGCCAAGGCAAAGAAGGCGGCGCCCAAGAAAAAGTAAATCATACCAGAAGAGTCCTGCTCTACATATTTTGTTATCCAACGGCTCTTTTAAGAGCCACCCACACTTTCTCTAAAGGAGCTGAGGCACCGAGGCCGAGGGTAACTTGCAGCAAGGATCCTGTAATTTGTAAGTTCTCAGAGGTCAATTCTTCTTTTTCCCACCAGTTACGTTTGCTGAAAGACATGGTAACGAAATACTGTATGACGCGGTGCTTTAGGGAAGTGTAGGTTTACGTCATTTTTTGTCGAGTAATTGGTTTGACTACCAGGAAGCAATATTTTGTAATTATTTGATAAAAAAACTGATGTATGGGATTTGTTGTTTCTGGTGTTTGTTTTTTTTTTTAAGGTTATATTTTGTAACAAAAGCAATGGGAATGCCAGGCAAGCTACTACTGAGCCATGTCTAATCTATTGTATTTCTCTTAAATGGTTTTGCTGTTTGGTGGAGGAGGGGAGAGTTTTAATCCGGAGACCCGAAAATAGCCCTGAGAGCTCCTTTTCCTTTTGTTCCCCTTGAGAAAGGGTTTAAAGTATTGAAAAAGCCCGCCCAGACCAAGGATTGGCCAGCGGAGAGCCCTGCCTACTGCCCCTTCCTCCGCCCCTTCCCCCTCCCTCCCCAAAGATTATTATGCCTCGTATATCTGGTGCTGTTCCAGCCCCTCTCGGAGAAGAAAAACGCGGAAGAGGGGGGAAGGGACAGGAGCCCTGGCCAAAATGATGCTCCCATATTTTCTGGCATAAGAACTACACGGGAGATATCCCACACCAGGAAGAACTTGCTTTGGGAGGACGTTTTGGCACTTTGTGTTAATGAAAACGTGGAAATCGTTGCTTCTACTACCAAGCCAAAAATACTGTTAATAAACATGGATAATGTAAGACAAAACACGGGTTGAGTAGTTCATATAAGGCAGCGTAATTATACTATGGATAATTGAGCTCTTTCATGATTTTGTGGGTGGCTCTGAAAAGAGCCTTTGAATTATTTTCTCTGGAAACGTGCAGCACAAGGGAAAGCCTTATGTTTACTTAGCTTTGGCTTTGTGGCTGTCAGTCTTCTTGGGGAGCAGCACGGCCTGGATATTGGGCAAAACACCACCCTGTGCAATCGTCACCTTGCCCAGCAGCTTGTTGAGCTCCTCGTCGTTGCGGATGGCAAGCTGCAGGTGCCGCGGGATGATGCGAGTCTTCTTGTTGTCGCGGGCCGCGTTGCCCGCCAGCTCCAGGATCTCGGCCGTCAGGTACTCCAGCACGGCTGCCAAGTACACCGGGGCGCCGGCACCCACCCGCTCCGCGTAATTGCCCTTTCGCAGCAGGCGATGGACGCGGCCCACGGGGAACTGCAGTCCGGCCCGCGACGAGCGTGACTTGGCCTTGGCACGCGCCTTCCCGCCCTGCTTCCCACGCCCGGACATCTTCACTCACTAAATCTGTCAGCGCTAAAAGCCCTCAGCTCCGCAACAAAGAAAACTGCCGGCGCTCCTCAGCTATAGTTTCGCTCTCCCACCTCGCCCCTTCACTGATAGGCTGAGAAGTAGGTCTTCTCTGCGCAGCCAATCAGGAGCTGAATCGAATTCTAACCAATAAAAGTCGGGCACAGGCGAGTTATGACGTTTTGCTGTGTTCTGGCCAATGAAAGTAGGCAACGGGAATGCTGCTCATTTGCAAGAGGGTGCTATAAAGATGTGGCCCCCGAATCAGTACACTGTGCTGCTTTCTCTGGTTTCGTCTTTGTTGTGTTTGCCGTCTGTGAGACAGGAGCTTGCTGGGATGCCTGAGCCAGCTAAGTCCGCTCCTGCGCCCAAAAAGGGCTCCAAGAAGGCGGTGACCAAGACCCAGAAGAAGGGCGACAAGAAGCGCAAGAAGAGCCGCAAGGAGAGCTACTCTATCTACGTGTACAAGGTGCTGAAGCAGGTGCACCCTGACACTGGCATCTCCTCCAAGGCCATGGGCATCATGAACTCTTTCGTCAACGACATTTTCGAGCGCATTGCCGGCGAGGCCTCGCGCCTGGCACACTACAACAAACGCTCTACCATCACCTCTCGGGAGATCCAGACAGCTGTACGGCTCCTGCTGCCAGGTGAGCTGGCTAAGCATGCAGTTTCTGAGGGCACCAAGGCTGTCACCAAGTACACCAGCTCCAAGTAAAATCTCAGACCGACAGTCTTAATCCAAAGGTTCTTTTAAGAGCCACCCACATTTTCAATAAAAGGGCTGTTCAGTCAAGTTAGCCTTTAATAGTTTTCCATGGAACTTTAGTTCAAAGTTATTTTTCAAGTCCCACTTCAGATTAATTGTGACAAAATATTCTCCCAATTTTCTGTGTTGGAGAACATACTTTCTGGGCATCACATTACTTGCTGTAATGAAAGACTTGAAGTTTTTTGTTTAAATTGTATTTCTAGGCCATAATTGATTTATGAAGTTATTACAGTTCACTGTTTAGAGGGTTGTATTTTTTTGTGCAATACATTGTTATTTTAAGCATGTTCATGCTGTGTGCATTGTGAATTGAATGTTAAAAGTCAGGAAGTAAAATTGTTACTAATGGGAATTTACGCTTGTGCAGTTTTTAACTGCATTTGCCACTTGATGGTGCTCGGTCTTTTTATTTTATTCTTTTTTTATTATTATTATTATTATTATTTTTTTAATCAGAATGAGATGTGTCCCCAATGTACTCTACTGTAAAATAATTTATGTAGTAACAAGTGACATTCATCTTAATAAGTTGTTACCAGGAGCACAGTGATCAATACAGCACAGAAGTCCTTTCTAGAAGTTACTTATCTTCATCAATTTTCTTAATAATTCTACTGTGCATGTGATTTAAAAAAAAAAAAAATTTTTTTTGCATAGCTTCTCCCTGTGATTGTTTCAGGTAGAGAATGTTCCCCTTCTATCTAAAAAAAAAAAAAACAAAGTGAAGAAAACTTTTCATCTCTGACCCCTCCTATATCTATAGGTCGTTCATAGCATTAAAACTGTCAAAGACTAAAATAACCAATGTGGGCTAACTTTGTAAGCTATTGGAGTTTATCATAAAGGTACCAATCAGCCTTAAAGTCTTTCAGGCTCAAACTGAAGACTTTCTGAATCACTCTTTGACTCCCTGAAAATCTGTATCTACAGCAGCATTAGATACTGCTCTAGATGGAGATTAAAGCCATTATCACCTTCCCTCAAACTGGATTGAATAATCCTGAAATTCAAGCATATTCTGTGTTCATAAAGGGGCCACAGAATCACAAAAGTAGACCTTTCTAGTACTGACTACATGTTGTTTCATTGTACAGGTACACAGACAAACACCAGATCTCTCTCTCTTAAATCTGTCACCAATTTATCAGAGTTAATTTCAGTTTGAAGGCTGATGGGGACCTCTCAGAATAGATTTTTATGTCCAGTGGGAAGAAGTATCCTCCACATTCTGCTCTTCAGCAGCTTCAAATGGAGTTGAGAGATCTGTTCTCCAAGTGTCTTAATGCAAACTCAGAATTGGAGCTTGTACGTTCCAACCCTCTGTATATATGTCCAACACCTACAGAGATGAATAAACCGTCGCTAGATTTTTTTATTTAGGGGAATGCTGGGTCACTAGAAAGGAATTCTAGAAAATATATACCAAAAGTGCTTATCTTCTGATAGGGATAATGATCATGAGAATAATTTGTCAGTGGCTTTTATTCTCTGTAGTCATGTAAAAGTCAAATTCAGTTATGTTGTCCTAAAAAATAAAGTGCATGTATAAAAAAATACTGTAATTTTAACTACAACTATCAGAGGGCATTACTGTTACCTGAATTAAAGTAAGATCTCAGTGGTGCCTTTTGGCTTCCCAGCTCAGGAATCCATCTGCATTCCTTTTGCCATTCCTGTTTTTGTATGCTCTGTGGTGCACAGTTCATTGCTCTCAAAACATAGCTTTCACAGTGTCCTGAGTTCAACTGTAACCATTATTTTTCTTCTTTGTAGCTGGTACAATGCTGTTTTCAGCTTTAGTCTGAGAACAATACTGATAACACACTGGTGTTTTAGTTGTTGCTAAGTAATGCTTACTCTGATCAAGAACTTTTTAGAGTGTCATGCTCTGCCGATGAGGAGGGCCACAAGGAATAGAGACAGGACACCTGACCCACACTAGTCAAAGGGGTATTCCATACCACAGTACATCATGCCCAGTATATAAACTTGGTGGAATTACCTGGAAGGCCCAGATTGCTGCTTGGGTTGGGCTGGGTATTGGTCAGCAGATGGTGAGCATCTCTGGTGGGTTTGTTGTGTGTTTTTTTTCCCCTTCCCTTTTTAGTTTTATATTCTCTCCCTTTGTAATTTCCCATATCATTATTATTGGTGGTAGTAGTAATAATTTTATGTTATACTTCAGTTATTGGACTGCTCTTATCTCAAGCCATGAGTTTACATTCTTTCGATTCCCCCCCAAACCAATGAGAGCAGGGGAGGAAGGAAGGAGGAGAGTGAACGAGCAGGTGTGCATCTGTGTGGTTCTGAGTTACCAGCTGTGCTTAAGCCACAACACACAGTAACTTCCAAGTATCCTTATTTTTTTTTTAAAAAAAAGTCTGTTTTGGTATGTGAGATCATTTCTATGTTTATGAAACTCTTCACAGAAAAGAAAATGTTACTTCTTTCAATGTCAGCATGAATGATAAGAAAATATTAGGGGTCTGTACTGTAGGCATAGCATTTCAACCTGTGCACACACATCATCAGATCTTATTCTAACACCTTTGTTATTTTTCTATCCATGCTGAGACCAAAGTCTCTCAAATGTAAAAAATAAAAAAATAAACTACTGTGGAAAGTTTGGTGTACTTTTTCTTTTCATCAGAGGCAAAAGTAGTAGAATTTAGTCTCAGCAAGAGTAACAAACAACAATTTCATTACACAGGAGGATGTGTTCAAAGTGAATAAAAATATTGTGAATATAAAATTATATAACTGCATATTTTTCAATCATTCATATTCTTTAATGTTCTTTCCTACTCGGTACAAAGCAGCGTTCTTTTTATTCTGAAATCACTCTGCCCAAGTAACATCACCCAGCAACAGTAAGATGGCACAGTTTTCAAATATATCATCCTAGTGGAGTAGGAATTATGTTGCAGCCACCTAATTCCATGGTAGGAATTATGCAGATGCCACCTCAACAGGGCTCATCCCCAGGTTCCTCCTTGAAGAACATGAGTCCCCAATCCACAGCATAAGTAAGTGGTTTATTTACCAAACATGCAGAGCATCTTAAAGTGGATGCTCCAAGTGGGACCAGGACTGCAGATCACACCCCCCAGTTATACCTGTGCCACCCAGCACTCAATCCCCAAGTCCAAGCACTTAATTCTGGTCAGTGGTCTCTTGATTTCTTATTGGTTTCCTTGATTGCTGGGCTGTTCTTCTGAAGTTATCTCATTCTCTTGGATTTGTTTCCTTGCTCCTTATCTTCTTTATTCCAGTCATATGTGACAGATTCATCTAATTATGTGTTAGCAGCATTAGTTTTATCAAAAAGTTTACTCTCAGTGACCTAAGGCTTCAATTACTTTATCTACTAGTGTTAATCAAGGCTATTAATCCTAATAGTTCTCAGCACTGGAAAGTGCTAAAATACATAATCTATGAACAGGCTCTTTGTGTTGTGTTTTTACCTGCCCTCCATATTTATCTTCAAAATACCTCTTCATTCACAGCAACTGAAATACAGGGTATATTTGGTTTTGTCAAAGTATATTTGTCAAAATACTTGGTTCAATATCAGCAACTTTTCTTGTATATCAGATTATCAGAGTTACTTTAGTTTTGACCTGTATCAAATAACCAGCCATAAAGAATCCTGAGAAACAATCCAAACAGCTACAAAAGTTCCCTTGTCTTATTTGTAACAGAATTATGATGTTAGTAGCATTCTTGCACAGATTTCTATTTCTTCTAGATCAGCATACCCTACAGAAAGAGTTATATTACTTAATCATCATTTTAATCATTAAAAGTGTGAGTTTGTTTCTGCAAAAGTGAAATACATCAGCTGGGTAAACAACTGACTGGGCAGAAAATCAGAAACATGAAGTAGATGCTATGTCTTATCCACAACCTGAAAAAAACACAGACTGGATTTAACAATTTTATACTCCTTCCTGCTTTTTTTTTTTTTTTAAATTGGCTATATCAGTATCTTCCCACCTATTTATGAAATCATTTTTTTCTGCTATGCAGAGATTATAAATTATTGCAATGTTGGTTTCCCAGAGACTTTCTTTTTCAGTTTTGGTATAAAAGAATATATTTAAAAAATAATTAGCATCGAGGGAGATGGTATTAGTTGCAGCAAGGGAAAAAGATTTAGTCCTATATACAACTGGATATAATGCTTTGGGCCAGGAATGAAAATGTGCCTGTTTCAGATTTTAAAGGAAAAAGAGTCTTTGGGCTCTGAAAACCTGGTCTCAGGATTGTGCTGCATCAGAGCACAGTTCAGGTCAAGATGTGACATCTCACTGGAGAAAAGAGTTGGAAGTGAAGGGGAATGCAGCTGGGAACAACCTTTCTACCTTCCCAGCTCGCACACCTACGAGGAAGAAACACTACAGTGAGCAGGTCTGCCTCCTTCCTCCGGGACTGGGATCACAGAATCAGGGGCCTATGTAAGTGGAAGGGTTTTTTTAGGGTTTGGTTTGGGTTTCTTTGGTGACTGCAAAGAACTATTTAATAGCCTGTCCAGGTGGAGAGGTTGTTCCAAAAATATTCCTTGTAAAAAAAAGTGGTACTAAGTATTAGTGACAAAGGTCCTTCAATTAATTTTTAACACAGAAGTCTAGACATACTTGTATTTTAAAACGAGAAAATAAGCATTTTGTGTGTGAAAGGAGTATCAGGCCACCCTGGAATTTTAATCACCAGTAAAATTCACAATTTTTTTGTACTTTAGTCCTACTTGCATTGCCTGTAGATTTTGTGCTTGAAAAGGACATAAGAAAATGGAAAAAAGAATTTTTTTTTTTTTAAAGAAAAGAAAAAGAAGAGGGCACACTTGGAGAGTTACTGCTGAAATTTGGGCATCAGAGTGGAGTGGAGAAATTTACACTACCTTTCTGCAGCACCGAAGCTGTGATGAAACTTCTTATGTCACCTGTATGCACTCTTTTGTAGCAAGTAGCAGCAACTGAAACGTGAAACAGTCTGAACACTCCACATGGTAGGTTTGGGGGTATTTTGCCTTGT